TGCTGTGTGCAGTGCAGCAGCCTATCAAAAGCTATGATTTCATCCCAAAAGACGTACTGTTTTTATGGTTAATGACAGCTGGGCCTTTTTGGTACCTGCTGACCTAGAACTAGTCTCTCAAGCTGTACTGAAGGTGGGTCATTTGAAATGTTTCATTATTTAGCAGCATATAGCTTTATTTTCATCATTCCTCTCCTTCAGTAAGTTTCCATTTTCCCTATTTATAGATGCCCTGGGAAGCAGGTCCATCATGAGTCTCATCTGCTTCTGCATTTCCCCACACAGTGCCCTAGTTATGACACAGATGAGGTGCTCTCTAATTAGTGCTTCTGTCCCTAGCCAGATTCAAATGCCTGGACTTGGCTTTATAGTGAAGGTCTCTGCATAATTTCCCAGATTCTTTGTGCTCACCATGGTTGTAATCAGAGTTTGTGCTGTCTCCAGATTTTCTTGCCTGCAACTGTAACACCATGGTCCAGCATCCCCGCAAAAGCACCACTTCCTTTCCTGTCCTCTCTGTTCTCCTCCTCATCCTCATCTCCCAGTGACTCTGGGTTTTTTTATTTGTTTGTTTGTTTGTTTTTTGTCCTCTTTTGACTTTGAGAGGGAGCTTGAACAGTCAAATCTGGTCTTCCTAATTGCTTAACTATACAGAGCTAATCCAGAAACATAGCTTGGACTTGGTGTGCTTTCCACACTTTATTTCCATGCATCATGTTTGCTTTTAGGAAAGTGTAGGAACTCAGATAACCTTTTCCATTTTAGAGCTGAGAAACTACATTGACTAAAAAGTTTTAGGAGCAGAGGAGCAAGAGTAATAGTTTTAGGAGCAGATCCTAAATTACGGAGCTGTCAGCCCCGTAGGGTCACAAGCAGCTTGGCATTTGGCTTGTGGTCTTCTAAGAGCTATTTAGGAAGAATAGGGCAGAGATATCCAATATTTCCTGCCATCTGCCTGCATCCCAGGGCCAAGATTACAAGGAGGTACTTGTTCTTTTGTCCAGCTGACTGCAGGGGCTACCGCTAGAAGTATGTCCCAGTCCCTGGCACAGCATTGCCAGCTCTCACACCAGTATCCTGAGTCTTGTGAGATGTGGGGTTTCTCTGACAGTCCCAAAAGCCAGAGGGGTTTCTCTGATGGTTCCAAGAGTCAGAGGGGTTGGGGGTAGACTTCAGCCTCATTCTTTCTGTTCAGCTCTAGCCCTTGTGATTTCTGAGGAAAGCTTGGAAACATGGCCTCTAGGGGCTTCAAAACCAATATGCAGCTAAGCAGAAGGAAGATGAACTTCATTAAGAAGCCCCAGGTGTTTAAGCAGATACCAGCAATATTTGGGGATCTGAACAAAGTTTTTCAGCATTTTAAGAGACATAGTGCTTCTGTCTGGAGGACCAGCATGAAAATGGGAGATCCCTGGCTCAGAGAAGGGCAGAAGAGGGAACTTGCATGTCCTTTCACATCCAGTGACGCCCTGCACAAGAGGGGAGGGAGAGAGAGGCTGCAGTGAAACAGCTACCAAGAACTCACTTGAGGGAACTGGGAACTGTAGACTCACAAGGTCTGAAGCCAAGAGACGTGACCAGCTCTGCCTGAGCTTGTCTATCTAGCACTTACAGATCCCCTGCATGCAGCAAAAACACTGTACCTAAAACACTATTGGGAAAACAATTTGGGCAGCAGACAAAGAACAGACAGCTGCCAAGGTCTAGTGGCTGTTGATGGCTAGCTTTGGCTAGGCTTCTCCTGCTCCCAGTATGTCCAGGTCATCTGATGATGTTTTCAGCAAGCCTGCTTTATCTAAGGAAAGTGCTTTTTTACGAGGTTTAGACTTAGCCCAGTGAAGTACTTTCAATGTACAGACATGGCCAGTTCATTTTTTCGGAGCTTGGAGGGGCTCTGGGCGGGGAAAGTCAGGAGTCCTCTGGACACCACAGCTTAAATTAGAACCACTTGGGCTCCTTGTGTCCAAGTGTCTAGCTTGGATAGAAATCTCCTCAGGTCCTTTCCAACTAACATCTATGATTTCTTGTGAAGCAGGGCATTAGTGAGGTTTCTCTCACACCACATTGCCCCTCTCTTCCTCTGTGGTTTTGATCAAAAATGCCTTGCTAATGGAAATGGTATCAAAGCCGCCACAACACTCTTGTATAAAGTTTTGATCTCAGCATGTTACAGATATCCAGAAAAAGAAAAAGAATACCTGCAAAATCAGTTTAATTAAATAATTTTTACATAAAGTGTGTTGAAGTCAGAGAGAGTAATGGGAACATCTGGAGTGCAACTCATCGCACCTACATTAGAAGCCTCATTTAGGATGGGACAAATCACTCTCTGGAAATAAGTGCTTTGAGATTCCATTTCTCCATCCATAAGCAGAGGTATAGAGCCATTTTCCTGTACTCTGTGTGCAGATAAGATGAAGGAGGAAGGGTAGAGGAGGAGGATAAATGTCTTTCAAATGTTATTATGACAAAGGGAGGGAGAACTCCCTCTTTGGCTAGCTTGGAGCTTGAGTAGGACCCGACAGTGCTTACAGATAGGCCTTAAAACCTAGGAAAATGGTTTCTGCGAGAGCACTGTTCCTGCTAGTTGCCAGGATGAACACGGAGCTGGCAGCAAAGGATGTGTGCATCAACAGAGGCAAATGCTGTCAGAGAGGCAGACATGAGCACAGTGTCCTTGCACCACAGTTGAAGACTTGGTTTCTTACTGCATCTTCAGTAGTGCGCACTGCGTTATCAATGGTCTGCATGGTGATAATGTGTAGCAGGCACTAGGCACTGAGTTGTGCAGTCCTGCACAACTGCCATCCTGACAGGGGAACCTTTTCCTCACAAGGCAGCCTGGACTGCATTCCTCACACACCCAGAGCTTGTATGGCTCCTTGCTGCTGGCAGGTTGCTTGGTTTATTTGCTTTCACTCCTAGCATCAAAGACGTAAGCAGAAAATTGACTGTGATTTGCATGGGAAGAAGGAGAGAGAGAAGGTATGTCATGAGATGACCCTGAGCCCTGCTAGATAAATGTCATTTAACACAGTGTCATCTGGGTGTAAAATGGGTCTAGGCACATCTGGAAGTCTTGGGCTAACCCCAACAAAGCACAAAGTAGAGGAGGAACTGCCTTGCTCTGAAGTCCTCAAATCTTTCCTACCTAATCTGTCATTCACAGTCTAAAGCCTGTAAGTACAGAAATTGGCATCTGAACAGCAGGAAATCTAGGAAATGAGCACAAGGGATTCTTCTGGGCTTTAGGCCAATATGTAGTCCTAGGAGCTACTGAAAGCACAGCAGAGTCAAGCTCTGGAAAGCAGGAAGAGTGTCACTGGGTTGGCATAAAATGACTCTTAATTCATTCAAGGTAAGTGACAGTAATCTGCCTGTCTGCTCTGTGCTGCCCACAGTGGACATTAAAGTCAAAGTTCCTGTGGTGCTGACCTGGGCATGGACAAGCTCAGATTTCAGTTTTGGTCAAGGCCCATTTCATTGCTGTGGGGTGATACCACAACACATAGCTGTTCTTTATTTGCTCAGATTTATTCCAAGCCTTGTGCCATCCTGTCATGTTTCCTCATGCCTGTAGAGCTGTGGACATCGATCCAAACATTTTGGACCCCAACACTCACTAACTGTCATACAGGGAACACACACAGTGCCCCCTAAGGCTATGACCAAAATGTGAGTCTCTACAGCCACCCATCACAATGTCCAGGTACTCCTCTCCCAGCTTTTCTATGGGCTTTGGAGAGATGCTGTCCCTGTGGCCAAGACAGGCTGAGCTGCTCTCTGTTACTGTGCTCCAGCCTCAGGAATAGTTTTGAATCCCTCAAAACCCTCCAAGATAGATTTGGCTGATTAGGAGAGGGCAGGCACATGAGGCCTCAGAAAAGCCTTCAGGACTGGAAGGGAGGGAATAAATCGTAGCAAGTATGGCAAAAGACTGCTAGAAATGTACTTACCACTCACCTGTGTATCTGCGGGGGGAGGGGCAAGGGTGATCATGCACATAAACTGGAAGGCATGCAGGCAACTGGATTGTGAAGGCTATGTCTAGCTAATGAAGGCACTTAGGTATCCCACCCCGCACAGGGTACTGACTCCTTGCCTCTTCCTTTGGGCTGGGCAACGTATTTGCACAGAATCACATCTAGCTCTTCTGCAGAAATCAGGGCTGGTAATGGTCATGGAGCTGGAATGGCAGCAGTGAGATCTGCTGGGATCTCAGGACCATGCTACACAGTATCTTCTGCCCAGTGATATAGCTGGTACTGGCAAACCAGTCCCTACCTCAAGAAGAGGCATTGCCAGGAGTGAGCTTCTCACCAATACAGGTCTCTGCCACATCTTTTCAGTAGCCCCAGTGATGGCTTTAAAGGAGAAAGGTCACAACTGCAACAGTGTGGGCATTGGCCTCCCTTGTCTATCACATGGGTAGAATCAAACTGCGGCAGGGATAGAAAGTATCCAGCAACATCCTATGAAGTTGTTGTGTATGGGTCCCAGATACCGCCACACTGGTTGCCAAAATGCAGTATCACAGCCACTGTGGGATGTGGCTATCCACACACCCTCCCCTGTTCCTTCCCATAGTCACCCTCCCCTCCTCACGAGTCGTCAGACCACTGAATCCTAGAGCAGGGTAGGCACTAAGTCATGACCCCACTCTTGTCTTTCATTCTTGGTTTGTGATGGTCCCTCACTCATCCATGTATAGTTGTTCTGTGGCGCTGAGCACCATTCTCAGTGCTGTGAACACCATCAGTGTCAGGGTAGCTTGGAGAGCGTCAGCCTGTCTTGCACACACAGCCCTTGGTACCTTGGTACATCCATGCCATTGTTCTTCTTCTTTGGTGGCAAACCTCTGAGTATGATGCCTTCCCATGTAGCATCTAACTCAACATAACATGCCACCCGCCTGTGACAAGCCAGTCTCGAGTGCCTGGATCTCGATACCTCAACAGTCTTCTTGTAGAGAGGAGCACAGAAAAAATCTATAATTTTGTAAGGAAAAGCAACTGTCTGGCAAATTCTGTGCATAACCCTGCCATAAACTTGGAATACATAGAGAGTATACAAAGGGTCTGTCTGCAGTACAAGGAATACACGGTTAGATCCAGCTAAGTACTTTATGGTTCACTGCGTGATATGCAGCTACTCAGATAACAGTGGATTTATTTTCATAGCATCCCAAGGTCAAAGACGGGGACTAATATAGAAGAGGAAGTCATTTGCACAGTGACTACACGAAGCATTGGTGGCAAAGCCAGAAGAGGACACCAGCTCTCCAGCACAGCCAGAGTGACCAGGAGCTGCTTGTCTGGGAGACGTTTCTATTTCGTAAAACCAAGCCTGAGTGCTCTGGAAACATCTAGTCACAGAGAAGATGCTAGCTATCTGTGCATATCAGAAGAAAAATGGCCCTGTCTGACTTTTTGGGGTTGTTTAATAATGCTCCTCTACATCAGATCTGGACTGCCCAGCTCCAAGAGGCTGGGCTAATACTTTCTGCTATTCTGAGCATCTCGAAATATGAATGATGTTGGGGAAGTGTGTGGGACACTTTGGAAGGGGAGCAGCAGCATTAGCACAGCCTGTTTCATGCAAGGAAATCCCTTGTTGGCACCAATTAAACATTGCATAACAGTGCAGAATATGTCTTATTTATTACTGTCATGTTAAATGCTCAACTTGTCTTGAGATGACGGCATACGGAACACCCTTTTAATTTTCCAGCTAGTTATTGTGCTTCACCCCTTGTAGATGACAACAATTTAGGAAAAAGAAATCTTTATTTTATATGTTTTGTATACTTGTACACAAGTAAAATAAAATGCATATCTATATATACTGCAATCTTGTGAAGGAGAAGGTAGCATTCTTTAACAAATGCTGCCCGTAAACATGGTGTCACGGAATGAATACGGAAAAACTGCAATATTCATAAACATAGGATTCAAACAGCATCAAATTCATTACCTCTGCAAATGGGAACCTGCAATATCATTCATTGTCATGTCAAGTTACAAACAAATTTTAGACATTCTTTTTGGAACATTTCTTACATTTTTTTCCCGTAAGTGAATCATATTTCTTTACCATCTGCTGTAGCAAAAGCTGCTTTGTGGACAAGTGCAGTTCCGAAGACCAAAGGTATAATTCACAGGTTTCAGGACAAATAAATTATGTACATCCTGGTGTTTGTCTTTTTTGTTTTTTTTATAAAGGCATCCAGTTAACTTTTGTGTAACAAAGCTTTCTCAGGGTGGATGGTAGTTTGATTTCATTTGCAACATTTATGGAGGTCAGCAAAAGTCTAGTATTAAAGTGTCATCAACCCAGGAAAAAAGTTAATTTTAGCAGAATAACAGTAAGCTCCACACCAAGGGGGGGATCAAAAGGCTTAGGCTGAGCTGTAATGTGGAGCTGTTTCCTTGCTGGGTGAGGCGGCACTGGGCCTTTGATTTGTTCTTTTTAGAGCAGCCCTGCCTCTTTTTGGTTGGGACTGTGGAAGGTTCAATAGGCTCTAAAAATTCTGGTTTCAACTTGGTCAATGGAGGCTCTACAATGCTGGGGAAGGTCCCAAAAGGGGAATCATTTATCTGCTTGTTACTGCCATTTTTAGAAGGGTCCGTCTCAATGTACTTGGTTTTGGACATATTCTCCTTATCCTTGAGAGGGTTGTTGGAGGATGGCCGGCTGCTATGGGAAGAAGGACCTGCCTTGCCTTTAGCTTCATAAATAAAAGATTTATCTGTTTCCGGCTGGCAGCACTTTGGGGAGCTGTCACGGGAACTGAGAGGGGGGTTTCCGGTTGGCAGTTTACCAGATCTGGTCTTAGTGCTAAAAACACTTGTTCGTATCTGGTTGAAGGAGTCAATGCATCCTTCCAAGTCAGTGCTCTGCAGCCTCTTGAGGTCTCTCCCTGCCAAGTGGGGGGGAAGGTGGCACTCCAGTTCTGAAGATGATCCTTTAAACTGTTTAAACCAATTCCAGAGAGACCGAGCCTGGCAGTCACAGATCCACTGGTTGCCATTTAAACGTAGATACTGGAGGGACACAAGGGGAGCCATGGTTTCCCCAGTGAGCACGGTCAGGTTGTTGTTAAACAGATACAAGGTCATCACTTTCCCAAGGTCATGGAAAGATCGGCGGTGAACCAGGCTTACTCTGTTCTGGTGCAGAAGCAGTCGGTCTAGGTTGATTAGCCCGCGAAAGACATTCTCTGACAAGCTCTTAATTTTGTTACCATGCAAAAACAGGTAGGTTAGGTTTGCAAGATCCACAAAGGTATCATCCAGCAGATTCTGTAGATTATTATCCTGAAGGTAGAGATATTGCAAGGAGAATAACCCTCGAAAAAGCCCTGTGGAGAGCTCCAGGAGCCCACAGCGATCCAGATGTAAGGTATGGAGGTGGATAAGACCCCGGAAAGTGATTGGGTTGATAGATTTCAGGTTCGTGTTGTCACTGAGATCTAACTCCTCTAGTTTGTTCAGCCCATAAAAGGCTCCAGGCTCAATGAGGCTAATGTTGTTGGAGTGGATCCAAAGGATTGTCATGTTGCGACAGGAGGTGAAACTGGTGGACCTCACAAAGGTTATCTTGTTGTTATGCAAGAAAATGCGCTGGCTCTGGATGGGTATCTCAGTAGGGATTGCTGTCAGTCCTTGCTGCTGACAACTTATTGTAATCTTCGGTTCACTGTAGCATACACATGCCCCAGGGCAAGACTCCACTTCTGACTGGATGTTCAAGCAAAGCACCAAAATCAGCAGTTTGCTTCCTAAAGAACAACAAAAATAGTATGTAAATCAGTCAGGGTCGTGGGACATCACTTTTCTCTGCAACTAATAGATGAGCCTGAAATTCAGCTCTGTCAGTACATTGCCATTAACCACACACAACGCATGCCAGGAGAGCCAAACAATTAAAATGCAGAATTAAAAATGTTCTACCACTCAACGCAATAGTTAAAATAATACACATTTATTGTGAGAAAGTCTGAGCACCTCCTCAGCCTTTCATACTCAGAAGGTCTCTGACTTCAATCACAAATGACAGTGAGCATCATTATGTATTTGCATTGTGGCTCCTGGATACACATCTAACGTAAGCCCTGTCCCAAAGGGTTTATCTCTAAGAAAAGGTGCTGTCTCCTTGGGGGCTGCTTGTCTCTGTCACACAACTAGAGGCACATTTGGCACAATTCAGCATCTGTCCAGCCATGGCTGAGGCCTGCAACAGCAGGAAGCATGGGTTGTGCTAGGCAACACTACATCGCATTCCAGGAGTACCACCAGCATTCTCCAAAGAAAGCACGTGTTCCCAGTCTGCGTTCAAACTGCAAGACGGACATGTGGCTCTTGTGACTTTCTGTGGACAAATTCTGCATTGATCTAGTCTTTCTGCAAGAAATAACTGCAAAGGATTCTCAGAATACCTTACCAGTCAGACCTGCTTGTAGAGGCCTCAGAGCTGAGGGTATCCTTTCCTTCTCCTTCAATGCTGTTCATACCTTTACACCACATATTCTTGTTTCCCTTCCTTTCTCTCCTTCCCTCAGAGGTCTATGCAGCCACTGAGGGAGAGGAGGAAACAGCTTGCGTTTCCCAGAGGACAGTGCTGTTGCTGGAGGAAATCAGGTACAAAGCTTGAATCAAGGATTCCTCAAGGTTTGCAAGGTGGAAGTAGTTTTCTTGTGTGCCTAGAGTGCAGGCAGCACACTGGTAGCACTAGGGCCCCTGAGTGGAACAATTTTCCGCACTGGTAATGACCCGCTTCCCCAGGAGCCCAGCTACACGGAATTGCACAAAAGGTGCCACAGGCCCTCAAATGACAATGAAGCATTTGGATTCACTGGATCAGGCCTCCAGGATGTGTTTGGGAAAGGCTTAGAAAACAGGAAAAGAGGGACAGAGGTTATGCAGCCAACATCAGGTTCTGACAGGAGACCTGGAAAAGAGGGTGAGTATGAACCTCCAGCTGAGACGTCAGCAAGGAAACCTGCTGTTTCCTGCCCATGTTGGAGAAGGGGGGGGAGAGGGGCCGGGGAGGGAAGGGAAGGCAGAGGTAGTTTCAACAGCACTTTACCAGCAATTAACATCAAGTAATTAGATTGCTTCGTGCCCCTCAGATGTGTATCTCCTTCCCAGAGCATCCACAGCACCTGTGGCAGAGACAGGTTCCTCACAGTAACAAGGGAATCCTAGCTGAGGGACAAACAACAGCTTTCCATGTTTGTTGCTCAGAGGTTTTGTCTTCCTTGAAAGATTGAAAATCTTGTTTTAAGCATTGAGATGTCTCATTACATCCTAATGTAAAACAGCACAGTTTAAAAAGTCAGGCAAAAAGAGATAATGACACAGAACTGGACAAACTGGGGGAACAGAGAGATTCCTGTCACTTCTTGGCAATGTGTGCACGATGCAACAGCAAGTGGATGAGCTCTTGTGCAGCTGAATTCCAGAGATAGTAGCTGCATCTCACAAAAAAGCTTGAAAGATGATAGCATAGCTAATGAAATCACATGTTCTATGAGTCTAAGCAGCAACTTCAAATCCCAACATTAAGGGAGTAAATCATACGGAAATTTCACCAAACCGTTTACTGAAGCATAACAAAGGTATAAGAGAAGCCAAGATGGGAAAGTTACTTTTCTGTAATAATAGACTGGGATTCTAGGCCTGAGCTCATTCTAGCCAAAATAATTCAAGATGTGAAGCTAATAAATCTGTGGTGATCCAACAGTCCAATATGGACAAGAGACACCTATACATCAGAGTACACATGGGAGAAAAAATAACAGCTCAGCAGGCAGAGATAATTTGAGCCTGACATTATTAGCTGCTGTGCGTCCCTAGAAGGCTGTGTGTTGAGTGCAGTATTATGACACATTCTGGCTGGCTTGTCATGTTTTGACATATCACATACCATTGTATGGAGCAAAGTAACACAAGACAACTGAAATCCCCTGCTGGAGACATGTCACACCAAGAGGAACCTCCTGGGAAATTAAAACAATATTGGCATCTCTCTAACCAGCATGATTCCTTTCCAGCTAATAATGAAAAACTGTAGAAAAAGAAATATGTCTTTCTGGAGCCTCTTTCTTCAGTGTCATGATTCAGATGATCACGGGCCAGAATGCCACTCTAGTGATGGGATTCATACTGCTGCGCAACACCATCCACTCCAGCAAAATAGCACCCAGACTGCAGACACTGCTGTGGACTCCAGGGCTTTTCCCAGCTGTTCCTTGCTGCTTTGGTAATACCATAGGGGCTACAACCTGCTCAGGGAAAATCTAGTCAGAACCCAGATGCATCCCACATGCCTTATAAATATGTGCGACATTCACAGTGCAATGAATACAAAGAACCATTCCTATGGGACAGGAATCACAATGTCAATACTCCTGTTCCAGCTCCAGCCAGGGGAGGCAAGTGCATAATAAATATATGTATACATGAGAGAGAAAGAGAGAACATTAAGCAACCAGCAGAGAACAAGCCAAACATATGAATGCAATCCCGTCCTGTGCTACCACCTCCTGATAAGCACACATCCTTCCTTCTGCACCCTCTGGATCACTTGATTTGTCATGCTCAGAGTGTGTACTGCCAACTCTTTCCTATGGACAGAGTGTGCCAGGGCCAGACAGCAAGGTACCATCCCAGTCTCTGGGTTTGTGCAGAGCAGGAGGCATGCCACAGCTTCTTCCTAGGACACAGGGGCAGAAGGGAAGTGGCAAATCCTGCTCAACTCTGAACCATGCCTAATCCTCTCCTGTAGCTGCTTCCTCTGCAGCTTCCAGGAGCTCTGAATCAGTGGTGCTGATAGCCAGATGCCAGTGGAGCTGTATAGGGAAATTAATTACAGGCAGGGCTAGCCTGTATGCCTTAATTAGGGACCTGGTATTCATGCACTGCTCAGATTAGCTTCTTCCACCAGAGACAGTTACTGTCAATCATTTCCAAGCTTTTTCCTGGTTTATTTCCCTCCATACAGCTCAACTGTAGCCTCACAGAGACATGCCAGAGCTCAGCATTCAGCAGTCATCAGAGAGTCCCCAGCCAGAGCAGGGCCTGAAGCAGCTGCAGGAATAGGCACACTTCACGGACAGCCTTGGGAATTCAGGGACATGCCACGGCCCCCTTTTCCCTGAGCTGGGACTGAGGGGAGAGTGAGAGAGAGAGACCGGTCCCTGGCCTTCCCTTGCTCCTACATAGAAATTCTCTATCACTGATGTTCAGAACTCTGAACCAGTGACTGCGCCCAGTACTTGATGTGCCCCAGATCACAGTACCCTCCAACTGGTCTGAGGCTTCCAGGCCTGGTACCAGGATATGTTTATCTGTCCAATTTCAGGCAAATATAACCTTGCTCTGTCTGACCAGGTGTCAAGTGCCCATTTTCAGCACAATGATGAGCACAAGGCAGAAAGCCTTGGGACAGGAAGGTTGCTAAGCCTCACATCAAGTCACGTTAATGCAGGTGCACAGATTTAGGACGGTGTGGAGCACAACAGAGCTTGTTCACATCTGCCTGGAACATACTTACATAGTTTCAGGTGCCCCCTTACTCTAGATGGGACGAGTCCTACAGGACAGAGCCAGGCACCCTGCAACACTGCTCTGGGTCCCACAGGGCTGGAGCCAGGTGAATGTCACACAGGTGCAAAACTTGCCAGAAATAGTGTGAGTGGGATCCTGCTTGTCTTGAGAGGGTCCCAGTATTTGTGATGCTGAGGGGTGCCAGTGAGTGATGTCCTTGAGTAGAAAGGTTACCAGATGGGCAGAGCCTTGGCTGAGGGCACATGAAAACAAGTATCCAGAGGATCCAAGCAAAAAGAGTCCAGACACTCGACAGCCTGGCTGGCACAGGCAAACACAGTCATTCATTTTCTTGGAGCCCCAGATTCAGCTCTGGCTGTGGACTGCTTTCTCTTTCAGCAGAAATGCACCCTGCCTTGAGGCCAGAGGTAAAAGAGATAGTCACTGCTGTCAGGAGGACAGTTGCCAGGGAATAAGGTAAGTCATAACCATTCCCAGTAAAAGGTGCCAAGTTCAGCAACACTAACAGGAGCTACAGCCCCCTCCCCTCTGCCTGCCAGATAAACTCATCCTAAGCACTGTAAGCAGTGTGCTGACACAACCACTGCCAAGGGATTGACACCAGCCTCTCCACCACAAGCTAGACTCTCCCACTTGCAGGACTCAATTCCATTGCCCATGCCTGACAAAAAAGGTTTTGATATGACATTAATACACCTGTCTCAGAGAAGAAGCCATTCCTACCCCTTCCAGAATGTGATTAAAACTTCATTGGACAGTTCCAGTCAAAAGCCAAAAATAAAAGAAAATCTAGTACCTGGAATCTTCAGTCCCTCCAAGAGTTTGGCTTTAAGTTTAGTATCTGCTCCTCCAGAGCTTTCTTAAAAGCCAGAAACCTCCTTCAGTCAAACTGCTGCACTTCCCCTTTGGCATCTCCGAAGTGTTATGACTCATGGAACTGGGAAGCAATTAAAGTGGGTCCATTATCTGTCTTTCCGCTAGTCCCTTGTGCAATCACATTGTCAAACATGGCAATTAGAAAGAAAAGGCTCCAGGGGCCTCTAATAGATGCTTTGCAAACTTTTTAAGAGGCCAAAGCAAAATGCAATTTTCTGCAGTTTGTAGAGCTGTGGCCTTTCTCTGCTGCTCTGTACTTGTCTCTATTGATTTGGAGATATTATAATGCGGCTTTCCTACAGCGGAGGGTCAATAATCATTTGAATTCTCTCCTGGCTGGACATAAAGGGAGTACTTTAAAA